AAGAAGAAGAAGAAGAAGAAGAAGACAAGCTCTTCCACATCTCACATCTCTGCCCAAAGTCTTTTCCCCTGACAAGTTCTCCCAGATGCACGTAGGCAGGACAGGACCCTGGGCCATACACTCGCTCGCTCCTACGCCTCCGCCTCAGCGCCTGCCTGCTGCAGTTACTCTTGCCTTCAGAGCTGACATTTACTGAGCAACTACTAAATGCTAAGTGCCATATGAAGGATTTTTCGTGGATTTTCTCACCCAATCCTTCCAATTACCCTATCAGGTGGACATAATCGTTGTCCTTCATTTTTTTAAATTAGAAGGGTCAAAATCCCCCAATTTGTACGTGGCAGCGCGCCTGGAGCTGAAGCCAGGTCTGACCCGGGACTTGTTCTCCTTAACTGTGGCGTTAGGATCTGTCTCCCATGTGAGAAATCTGAGTTCCAAGATGCTGTGCGCGGAGTAACAGCACCCCCAGGGCTCAACACAGAAGCTTACAAGTTGCTGAATATGAACAAATGTGGAGAAAGAGGATTTTCTTCCCTGCTCTTCTTTTTTCTTAATTAAAAAAAAAAATTTTTAACATTTATTTATTTTTGAGAGACAAAGAGACAGAAAGTGAGCAGGGGAAGGGCAGAGAGAGGAGACACAGAATCCAAAGCAGGCTCCAGGCTCTGAGCTGTCAGCACAGAGCCGGACACGGGGCTTGAACTCACAAACTGCGAAATCATGACCTGAGCCAAGTCGGCCACTTAACTGACTGAGCCATCCAGGTGTCCCTATTCTTTTTTTTTTTTAAAGAAAATTTTTATTATTGGAAGTCAAATATATACAGAAGTAGAGTAATGATATAATGATCCTCCAAATACCCAAATCCCAACTTCAACGCTAATCAATGTAGGGCCAATCTTAACACCAGCATTTAATCAATTTAATGTTAAATTATCCAGTAGAAAGAGCCCCCTTCATTACTCTTTTACAGGATTCTATGTTCCTAGTTATCATATGATCATTTACCTGCGTGTAGGCTTTTTTAAAAAAAATCTTGAAATGGGCAAGTCTTTCCAAGCAAAACATAAAGCAAAGGAACTGTAAAGGGGAAACTGATAACTTTTTCCCTATATAAAATTTAAATTTTCTGAAGAGCATAAATATTTTAAACAAAGTAGAAAAAATTGGGGAAATAAGGGGCACGTGGGCGGCTCAGTCGGTTAAGCATCCAACTCTTGTTCTCAGCTCAGGTCACCATCTCATGGTGCATGAGTTCGAGCCCCATGTTGGGCTCCACACTGAGAATTCTGAACCTGCTTGGGATTTTCTCTCCCCCCGTCTCTCTCTGCCTCCCCTGTGTGCACGCACTTGCTCTCCCTCCCAAAATAAATAAACATTAAAAAAAAATTTTTTTAACGGGGGAGACAGCTGTAACATATACGACAGATGATTAAAGTGTATATTTCCAATGTATAAAGAACTCTTAAAAATCAGTAAGACCAATACCATGTTATCTGGAAAAACGGGTACAGGGATGAACAGACAGGTTCACCTACTAATCTTAAACAAGAGAAAGACAAGGAATTCCAAGCGACACTATTTGTCAAGATACTTCCTCTGGTACTCTAGGATTTAGGAGTAAGACTCACTCTAGAACAGAGGAAAACACAATTCTTACCTGTAAACTTGTTTCTTCAAAACCGGGTCACCCTGGAGTCCAGTATCAGAGTTAAGTGTGAGAGGTGAGTGTAAGCAAGCCTGCAAGACTTGTGACTTCAGAATCCTTCCGAACGGGATGCCAGGGTAAGTACTCCCACCTGACAGTGTGACCACTAGCCCATGATCCAGGGGTCTTTCTCTCAGTCCTGCTGGGGAGATGAAGAGAAAGATGAGTGAAGAAAAGTTGAGTGTTTAAGAGACAAAGAGCTTAAAAACAAAGGCAAACCACCAAGCCCCTGCTGGATGGCATCTGAAACCCAGGGTCTGGGCCCAAGAAGAAAAGTATTTCCATTCAGTGGGGAAATGTGGTCCACCTTTCCCGAGGGGCCACAGGATGGCTTGAACGGAGGAGGGTTTCCAGTGACCTGACACAAATGTTCAGAGTAGTCAACATCCTTCAGAAATAGTACCCATATCCTCTTCAATAAGGAAAATAAGAGGAGAAAGAAAAAAGTATATTCTCAGCCATAGGCAAAGCCAATTTTAGGAATATTGAACCTCTTGGATGAGGGTTTCTGAGCCTTTTGAAGTCATGAATTTTATTAAAAAACAATTCAGGGGCGCCTGAGTGGCTTAGTCGGTTAACTGTCCAACTCTTGATTCTGACTCAGGTCATGATCTCATGGTTCGTGAGACCGAGCTCCATGTCAGGCTCTGTGCTGACAGAGTAGATCTTGCTTGGGATTCTCTCTCGCTCCCTCTCTGCCCCTCCCTGCTCGCTTGCACTCTCTCTCTCAAAATAATAAACTTAAAAAAAAAAAAAATCAAACCACCTCTGAAGTTTACCTGCCAAAAATGGAGAAATGGAAACTAACTGACCTAAGCTTTTAGATCTAGCTTCCAGCTTACAGGAAATACAAGGGATAGAGGGGCAGGCTAAACCACACTATACAAAAAGCCAAATAAATCCAGAATGTGAGGCATCTACAGGCAGCCAAGTGCCACCAGTAATTCACTGGCATCAAAGAAACCCACTGAGGCTGTGACAGACCAGGGTCAGCAAACTATGGCCTTTAGTTAAGTCCAGCTCCAACAGTAGAGTTTAAAACAAAAAGCCACGAAAAGAAAAGTATATTGGAACACAGCCTTGCTCATTCATGTACATACATCGTCTATTGCTACCTTTTGGGGAACACACAGTTGAGTAGTTGCAACTGAGGCTACATGGACTGCAAAGCCTCAAGGAGTTAGTATCTGGCCCTTTTCACAAACCCCTGTCCCAAATCAAAAGAGACAACAGGTACTCAACAAAATACCACGCGTGGACCTTGCCTGGATTCCAATTCACACAAACCGAAAGTAAAAGTAAGTGCATTCTTGAGGCAGTCAAGGAACTTTGTGGACTGGGTCTTAGAAACCATTATGGAATTACTGCCAATATGATCACATGACAACGTGTTAAGGTTATCATACACCTTAACAAAAGGAAAAAGCCCTTTCGTTGCGGGCGTATAAGGCACCACTTAAGGGTGACCTGATGTGGTGCGTGGAATTGAAACTGCTTCCGACAACAAAAAAGATGAAGCAGATACGGCCAAGGAAATCGTTTTAACAAACTGTCTGATCTATCTGATAGATGCGTGGAAGTTCACTGTACTATTCCCTCTACTTCTGCGTTTGCTTTAAGAAAAAAGAAAAAAAGTAGAGTTTGTGCCTTTCGCTTCAGGCACGTCCCCCCTCACCCCTTCCTACACGGAGTCCAGCCCCAGCACAGCAGCTGCTCCTAGGTCTCCAAGCGGAGTTACGTTTTAAGCCCCTCATCTCTGTTCATGGCGTCCGCTACCCCCTTCCACTCCTTAGCCCATCAAAGTTCTACTCTCTGCTCGAGTCCATCACCAATGTGACGCTAGCCATGTCCTCCAGTGACAATTCATCTCTCTGTGCCCCCAAAAGACCACCGGCTCCTTGAAATTTCTTTTTTCCTTAACGTTTTAGCTCTTTACTGTGTCTATGACCTCATAATGCCGTACAAACCCTGAGACTCCTAGTAACTGGGTTTTTTCTGTAATTCTACCAGAAAATAATCATACCTCACACACAGTATGCTCTCAGGTCCAATCTAAACAAGGCTGTCCTCCCCTCCGGAAAACAGTGTGGATGTTCCTCAAAAAATTAACAATAGAACTCCCCTATGACCCAGCAATAGCACTGCTAGGAATTTACCCAAAGGATACAAGAGTGCTGATGCATAGGGGCACATGTACCCCAATGTTCATAGCAGCACTCTCAACAATAGCCAAATCAGGGGAAGAGCCTAAGTGTCCATCCACGGATGAATGGATCAAGAAGATGTGGTTTATCTACACGATGGAATACTCCATGGCAATGAGAAACAATGAAATCTGGCCATGTGTAGCAACATGGATGGACCTTGAGGGTGTTATGCTGAGCGAAATAAGTCAGGCAGAGAAGGACAAATACCATATGTTTGCACGTATAGGAGGATTAGGAGGAACTTGACGGAGGAACAAGGGGGAGAAGAAGGGTGGAAATGGTGGGGGAAAGGGAGAGAGGCAAACCATGAGAGACTCTTGAATGCTGACAAAAACTGAGGACTGATGCATGTGGGGGGGAGGGGGGATGGGCATGGAGGAGGGCACTTGTGGGGATGAGCACCGGGTGTTATATGGAAACCAACTTGACAATAAACTATCTGTAAAATAAATAAATAAATAAAAATAAATAAATAAATAAAAATAAATAAATAAACAAGGCTGCCCTGCGCTGAGCAAGTTCACTGACAAGAGAGAGACCTTCAAATAAAGAATGAATTTCTGGGGGCACCTGAGTAGCTCAGTCAGTTAAGTGCCTGACTTTGGCTCAGGGCATGATCTCACAGTTTGTGAGTTCGAGCCCTGTATTGGGCTCTGTGCTGACAGCTCAGAGCCTGGAGCCTCCTTTGGATTCTGTGTCTCCCTCTGGCTCTTTGCCCCTCCCCTGCTTGTGCACACTCTCTCTCATAAATAATAAATGAATGAACTTCTAAAAGAATGAGTTTCTGTTAAACAAGAGGCTCCTCATGCTTAACTGATGCTCTCCTTTTTTTTTTTTTTTTAGAATATTTATTTTTGAGAGCGCACAAGTTGGGGGGGGGGGGGGCAGACGGAGGCTCCTAAACAAGCTCTGCGCTGACTGCAGCTGAACTCACAAATAGCAAGATCATGTCCTGAGCCGAAGTCAAACTCTCTACGGACTCAGCCACCCAGGTGTCCCTAACTGGTGCTCTCTTAGTAAAATCTTTAATTGCTAAGGTCTGCCCTTGAATAGAGATGAAGGCTAAGATCGCTTGAATGAGTCCTCTCGTCGTCACATCTCCTTGGGACCCGTCCCTCTGCAAACGCTGCTGCCCTCCCCTCCATTTCAGTCTGCAGGGTGCCCTCACCCCTGCTAAAGACCTGGCTAACCTTGGGAACAAAGCCTTTCAATGACTTCACCTGGAAGAGCTGACACAGGTTGGACTTTCAAGGCATCTCACTAGATACAATTTTTAAGAAAATGAACAGGTAAGTTTAAAAACAGTAACCGCTTCTGTCCCTGTTCTCTTGAACTTCCCGCTGCCCAATATCCAAGGCCAGCGTGAATAACCACCCCCACTCTCTCTCTCTAGGTTTGATGCTAATAGTTAACACCCTTGTGAGCAAGGTCAACTAGTGCAAAATATCTCTGAACAAAAATCCACCAATTAGAAATTAATTTAACCTCACATTAATACAAATGCTCTCTACCAGGGTAGTCTGCTTATTGGGGAGCTTCTGGCTTCTCTGGGGAGCAGGTTCAGGAAAACAAGGCATTTTGGGAAAATGAGGGCAGTAAGGCAGGAGCTCTCCATATTCGCATTTCAATGCATTGAATGAGACCAGGAAGAATAGTCTTCACTTACAGGAAAAAGTAGGACTGGCGGAGGGCGACCTACACTCTATACGGGCCAACCCAACAGATTTAGAGATGTCCTTTCGTTTTTAACATGTGATCTCTCCCTAGGACACGTGGCCAAACAATGTACCTACTTTTCAAAAAGTGGCTGCCAGTCTCAGGTGTTTTCTGATCAGATCAACATTAACAAAGCTAGCTGGGAGTCGAGAAGGTATGCTAAAAAACAAAAACAAAAACAAAAAAAACCCACCAAAACCGCGCACCTATTCCGGGTTTCAAGTGCAATTACGGAGTTATCTCTGGCCAATACCGTGAAATTGCAAAAACCGGACTTCGGAATCAAGCGAGAAGGAGAAATTCCTCCCCGAGACTCACATGTGCCTACTAACAGCTGCAAAGAAATCTAAAGTCATAAGCTGACGAACGCCAGAAGTTTTCAGATTTCTTTGGCAGCTTTCGGTTTCCTCACAAACAGGAATCTGCGAAATTAAAACCAGAATGTTTGAGCACTGCCGGCCTCGGTCACCTCCGGGATACTCATCACTCTGTGCTTGTGAGGAACGGGCGGCGTCCACACCTGCAGGCGGTCCCTAACTTTTCCCGCCCTCGCCCACTCTGGCGGGGGCGCCCGCAGCGGCTTTGGGGTGCGTTTCGCGGGCCCGTGTCCCCTCCCTGCCGGCTGGTCCGCAGGCCGCCCGCGGCCCCCTCACGGCCCCGCTCGGTCCCCGGCCTCCCCCCCACCCCCATTCCGGGCTCCCGCGGGCGCCGCACTCGGCCCGGACGCAACGTGCCCCGCGGGGAGCGACGCCCCGAGTCCCGAGAACCCCCGCGCGGAGGGAGCGGGGACAGGCGCCCCGGGTCACCCCGCGCCCGCGCCTCACCTGCCGCAGAGCGCGGCGCCGTCGGGGAGGGCGGACCCGGCAGCGAGCGGAAATCCCCGGCGAGACCGGCGGCGCCGCCCCGGGAGGCCGCCCCCGGCGGCGCCCCCTGGAGGCGGGACGCGGTACCCGCCCGCTCCGACCCCGCCCACACCTGGGCACGCGCCGGGCCCCACGCCGCCGCGCTCACCTGGGGCGCTCCGCCCGGACGCTTAGGCCCTAACGCGTCCCGCCTGGGGCCTCGCATCAGCCTTGACTCTGTGTGGGACCCAGACACACTTAGGGGCACACCACAGCTACACACACAGAATTGAGCCCACACCGGGGCATGCCACCGGAGGACCAAAGCCTCACACTGGGAGCATCCACACTCGGCGCTGGTACCATACTGGACGCAGATCATCCTAGAGTCTAGATACGAGTCTCCCTTTTCAAATAAAACGGTGGTTGTAGGAGACAAAGAAAAGACTTCCCTTCTGTCCTCTGGCTCCTAGACCTAAACTTGAGGCCCAGAAATTGGAAGAGTGAAGACCAAAACTGAAGGAGAATTTTTCTCTAGAGATTTTGTTCATTCTGGGTTTAAGCAATGCTACTCTGGGGACTCAGGAGACAAGGACACACTTCTGTCACCTCTCCCCAAAGACACAAATATATAAATAGTTATTGGAATAGCAGTAATCCCCCTTAATCATTTTCTGCCCCTTCCACTTTCTCATGTATGAGGACTAGTTGACATCTTACTACAATTCGATTTTTACCCAAATAATTCCAGTAGTATAGATGCGGTTGCGCTTTGAATGGATATATATAGATTTCCAACAGAAATCTTTAAAATCAGATTCGTAAGCCATAATTTATTTCAAAGAGATTTCTTCCCAAGATTTGTCTTGGGAAGTTCATGATTAAATAAAAATCTCATCTAGCATGCATTTTTAACACCATTTTTAAAGAGTAGCAGTAATCATCTTAATTTCCTTTTTGAAATGAAGAATGATTCCTTTCTTTTCTTTTTTGAGGGAGGATGATCATGTTGGCAAAGGAAAATGAGCCAAACACATGAATAAATAATTCCTCTGGTGAAGGAAGATTAAAGATGGTTACAAGGTGAGTCTTCAATTGCATTTAATGGCACGTTAGGCTGGAGAGTCTGGTTCAACACAGAGTAGGCTCTGTGGGATGAAGTTGTCAGCTAACTCTCAGAAAATGACTTGTAGAAAAATGGTTCAATGTAGTAGTTTTCAAAATGTGACCCCAGTCCAGCAGTATCAGAAGCACCTAGGAATTTAGAAATGCAAAATCTTACGTCACACCCCAGATCTTCTGAACCACCAATGGGGGGGGGGGGGGCGCTAGCATTTTAACTAGTGTTTACGATGACTTTCAAGTTTGAGAACCATGATTTAGGGAAGAACTGCTCCAGCGTTTCTCAAACAAAACTGTGGATGTGAACCAGCTGGAAATCTTGGTTAACAATGCAGATTCTGGTTCAGGTAGACTGGAATAGAATCTAGATTCACTTGTGTATGGACGCACACAGAGACATTGTGTCTGTAAGTACAATTGCCCAGCAAAAGGAGGGGTGTGGGCTGCCCTTAGAAAGGTGAAAGTCATCCAGTTTCTTAAGGAAACTGAGTGGTTGGTTACAAACCTATGACTTGTCAGCTTAGGATTGGTGAGTTACATAGGAGTCCTGTAAAAACCAAGTGCTCTGGTGGGTTTAGGAACAGAGTGGACTTATTAAGGCCGTCAGGTTGCACCCAAATTGTACAGGTAAGTCACTCACCAAAAAGAGTTCAGCTTACCAGCAGCTGCTTTTCTGCTCATTCTGGTCCACTACTTTGCCGTCCATAATCTCCCATATCCTCAGGCTCAGGGTCAAGCCTGCAAATCACTTATGTAGGTTTAAAGCAAGCAAATATTTCCTTTATCAACTCAAATGATTCAAACCAACAAATTATCTTTATTTGGAATTATGCAACTTGGCCATTTTTGTTGTCCAAATCCAAGTAGGTAAGTTGCCAACATCTGTTTTCCAGACTTTAATGTAATAAGGTAGATAAGGTAGATGCCTGCTTTATATTTATATTCGACTAAATGCCCTGCTACTTAGTTTAATGAGAAAGAGTCCAGCCTCAATCTCCTCGTGACCCCTCCCACATGCCTCCAGCATTGCAAATACCACACTACAAACAGGAAAACATTTGCATCTCTTGAAACTGAAGTTATAATGTGAAATAAATAACAGAACGAGAAGACTATGTCAGGAGCTTGAAATCTAACTAAATAACACTATAAAATCTACTGAAATATTATCAGATGATTCTGGCAAATCATTTTAAAAAGTCATCTTTGACCCCAAATAACCTACAACCTAAATCCAACACTTGTTTTTGTATGGCCCATGACTAATGAGTTTTACATTTTTAAATGCTTGGAAAAAAAAGAAAAAAGAAAAAAGAATATTTCATGACATGTGAAAATTACATGATATTCACAGTTCAATGTTCGTAAATAAACTCTTGCTGAAAACAAAGTCAAGGTCATTCGTTCATGTAGTCATTGGTTGTCACTGAGACTATGCGGTCCACAAAGCCTAAAATATTTACCATCTGCCTTTTTACAGAAAGAGTTTGTCTACCTTGCCCTATAGTTTTTTGCTCTGTTACAATATGTGCCTCTCTTTTCTGAATAATTGATTTACATGACAGATTCCCTGCTGGACTGTTTCATGAGGGACAGACTTGTATCCTTTGTCTGAGTTTCCAGCACTTGGCACCATGGGACACAAAGTTAGGTATCCAATAACGTTTATTTAAGTGAAGTTTACATTTTGATCATTTTCCCTCTGTAAATCTATATAAACTTACCAAAAATTCTTTGCAGTTCAACACTGGATCCATTAATGAGGCTAAATTAGAAAATATGTGTGCAAAAAAAGAAACAAATACATTCTGCAAATAATTGGATTCCTGGCTTCCATTTCTAAACCTGGTGCCCCAAAAAAATTGTTGTTAAATTTGAAAGCAGCAGGGTTATTTTTTCTCTTCTTTTCATTCTGTCAAGTTATTTTACTTAGTACAACAGATCTCACTGATAAACAATTCCCATGGCAAAGAAATTAACGAACAGAGAAAACCAACCTCGTGAAGTTATGTTAATTCACATTAAATTCAATCCTGGTATTTCTAGAATTAATGTTTTAACGATGATGTGCATTGCTGTCAGATATTTAAAACTAAGGTGTTGACCTTTTCTCCACAAAAGAAATGCAGTATCTTTTCTAAAAAAGTCTATGGAGTTTTCAAGGCAATTGCAGTTGAAATGGTTTATACCATTCTTGCCCATCTTCTGGACTTCTAAGAATAAAAAAGCAAAGACTAAAGAGATTGTATACATAAGATTATTTAGTTTTGATGAATAAATCCCTATTCATGAATAGGAAAATGGTTGCAAGAACTCCCAGAGAAAGTAATTTGGCCACTGAAATATGCCATCCACCATGATGGGAGCTAATTACATTACAACGAATCACTGTCAGGCCACCAACCAGTCTCTGACCAAGTAATCCCACGGCCATTGTTCCTCCTAAAACCAGAATCAAGTAATTTGGGTCTGCTCTCCAAACACAAACTGCATTTAATGGAAAGAAAATAATTGCATTTAAAGGAAATAATGCTTACCTGGTGCCTAGAAATGTAGACATTACAAAATAAAATGTAGGTTGGTTCCCTTGAGGTGTCAATGTAAGAAACGAGCACATTTTGAGTGTTGTTATGTGCCTTGCATAATATGACTCTTCTTTTGTCTTAACCCTTAAATAACAGTAGGAAGCAGATATTATCATTTCCCTTCTATATGTGAAATGGCTCCAAGAAGCTAAACGACCCACTTAAAGGCATGCTGCCAGAAAAGAAGAGTGGCAAGATTTGAACCCATATCCAGGTGAGCCCCAGCCCATGCTCTTTAACATGACGGCTAAAACAGGGAGTACACTGGGCAGTATACACTGGAATGTATGTCATCTGGACTAATAATTTCTTTTCTATTTGAACCTTGTGGTTAAAATGACTAATCCTGATGTACAGCTCCATACGTGTAGCTCTATCCATGAAGAGGTTTCCTATGCGTGATTTGAGGCTTACCTCTGCTCTGTGCAGTAAAGACCAGGTAGAGAATTTCTTCCACTTTACCGATGAAATAGAGAGGTTACTTGTCCATCCTTACTGACGATTTTAAACAGCAACCTTTTTTTTTTTTTTTTTTGAGTAGGCTTCAAGCCCAGCATGGAGCCCAACACCAGGCTTGAACTCACAACCCTGAGATCAAGACCTGAGCTGAGATCATGAGTCAGATGCTTAACAGAGTGAGCCACCCAGGTGCCCCAAATAGCAACATTTTTTAATAGTCAGTGCTCTTCAGAACAAGATTTCTCAGTAAGGAAGCAGCAGTCATCCAGCAAAGGGGAATATTTTTGACATTGACTTCAGTGTGTCCATGAGAGGAATGTGGCTTTCCCCTCTCTTTGCAGCTATCCTAATCTGTGCTATCTCGGCATGATGAATGGCAGAGGAGAAGTTTCCTTTTTCAGTCTGAGACACTTTTTTTTTTTTTCACCTACTGGAGGACATCTTGTCTGCTTCCAAGATTTGGCAATTGTGAAAAAAGCTGTTGTAAACATGTGTGTAGGTTTTATTTATTTATTTTTTTTACAAATAGTTTATTGTCAAATTAGTTTCCACATAACACCCAGTGCTCATCCCCACGAGTGCCCTCCTCCATGCCCATCCCCCCTCCCC